TTTTTCACAAACATTAAGTGAATTGAACTGAATGATAAACAAAATATTTTTTGGACTTTAGGGAAATGAGAAATGAATGATGATAAATAGATAACCAGACAATAATAAAGATCCTCCTGAAAGTGTGCTCAGGCTATCATAGTTCAAAATCAATTGATATGGGAGTAGAAATCACTAAGTTTCAAAATAATAAACCTTAAAGTACTCTTTAAGTCCAGGATCTTAATCAATGGAACTCCATTTCTCAAGATCCTGTGAAGTGCTCTTGGTGTGTGTAGAAAGATTGATTAAATGCAATAGGTCAAATGCAATCATGCAAAATCAACTAAATATCCAGACACAACCGTGTAAGAGTAGAGAGAATCTAAAGATCACAACTGATATACATGATACTTCATATATTTAAGCTCAGAAGTTCTACAATAACCAATCCACTACACAAATGAATATCCAAAACTGATTACAACTATAATCAAGTAGTTCGACTACAAATTACAAATCCTAAACCTAGAAATTCATAAATTCATAGCTAAATTGGGATTAAACTACTCTTAGCTTATTGAACTCCAGCCATTGTACACCTTCAAGAGAAAGAGAAACACCTAGCCACACATAGAAATCTGAAGCATCTCAACTAGGAATGAATCTGAGCTTCCCATGGTGGAGGTTTGACAGTGGAAAATGGAAGAGATTAGGGTTAGACAAGAGAAGGATGAGAGAGAACAGAGATGGAGGTTGTGACAAGAGTGAATGATGTCGCTTACACCAAAATAGGTTTTCTAAACCGGTAGTAAGGTGTACTAGGTCGGTTTGTATGAGTGGGTAGGTAAAATTTTTGAAAATGGTTTGGGTTTGGGTTGCTAATTCGAAGAGTTTGCCATGGCAAAGGTATGGTTTCGCTGCGGCGAACCATGGCTGAGAGGTCTCTAGTGGAAGTTCTATATTTCACCACGGCAAAGGTATGAGTTTGCCGCGACAAAACCTGGCAGAGATGTTAATGTTGCCTCTTGTGTGCCGCACTTCCTTAGTCTTCACTCTTGGTTCTATTTCTTGAGTGCCCTAAAATAAAAAGCAATGGTTTCAGGTATCGATTGTCCCAAAAATCAATTTAATGCAATTAATGAATAAATATGACAATTTTGCCCTCAAATAACACTAACTTAAAGCAAAGACTCTCAATCTCAATTAAGCACAAATATCATTAAAATGAGCCAAAAAGTGTAACAAAGACCTAGAAAATGCCATCAAATAATATAAACAATTTGAGTTTAATCAGCAATTTTTACACTCAACAATTTAAGGTGCCATATGCACCAAAAAATAATTTAGGATGTTGAATGTATCCAAAAGAATAACTTAAGGTATTAGATGCACCAAAATATAATTTAGGGCATTGAATGTTCCTCAAAAAATATTTCAAAGTGCTAAAAGCATTTTAGCCATATCTAGATATTCTCCGATTTTATTGTATATTGAATATTAATTCAATATATAAAGATATTCTCATATTGTGTTCCAGCACTACAGGTCTTACATTGGTCCCAAAAAAAAAAGTACTACGGATCTTTCAGCATCGTGCTCTAATAATTTAATCAATAAATAATATAAAAAAAAGACCCGAAAGAAATTATGAGCTATATTTTTATATTTTAAATTGTAATTCCAATTAATACACATAATTAACAAAAGCATTTTAGAGAAGACAACGTATATTTATTACAAATAACCAACTTAACAATTTTTTTTAATCTACTTAAATTATTTTGTTTGTTCTTATATTAAAGATTGGATGTAATATTTTTTAACTAAGCATACACACAAATTTTAATACTCACTCACCCTTAAAAATTAATAAAAGACTTATTAAACTTAAAAATACATTAAATGATGGGGAAAAGATGAGAAAATACCTTTAAATATACAAAATCCTCTATTAGTACTAGTAAAAAGCAAAAGGTTATATCAAAACAGGGGTACTGATATGGCATTTCTAAATGTTGGCAAAAGACAAGCTTGCCCTTAATGTATTGACAAAAGAAAAAACAATGCAAAAAGCAAGTTAAAGTAGTCCATTTATTTATTAGGTGTTGTTAACCTATATGAAAGAGTTGTCAGCACGTCTAATAAGGGGGCAACATGTGATTTGCATAAGTTTTTCAATGGGTTTTCCCTATAATGAATTTTGTTAACTACTTTTTGTTAGCATATATAAAATTATTGTCAATATATTTGGAAGAGTTGTCAATGGCCTTAATTAGCTGGCAACATGCTATTTGTCTAAGTTTTCTTATTAGTTTGTCCTATAATAAATTTTTCCGATTACTTGTTGTCAATACATATAAAAGTGTTGTTAATATATTTAAAAGAGTTGTTAACATATCTAACAAAGTTGTAATGAATTTATGGATTACTTGTTGTCAATATATATGTAAAAGTGTTGTTAATCTATTTGGAAAATTTGTCAACTCTCCTAACAAAGTTGTAATGAATTTTTCTAATTTTTCATTGTCCATCCATATAAAATTGTTAATTTATTTGGGAAAGTTGTCAATGCCTATAACAAAATTGTTAATAAATTCATGTGATAGTAATTTGTGTATCCTATTTTGAATTTCTCATATTACTTGCAGTGAATACATATAAAGCGATTATTAACTAATAAATATTACATAATTCAAGTAGTATGTTTCAAATACAAGTAGTCACCAAATACTACGTAGTTGTCGAAAGGCTTGATAAAGTAGTAACTCTAAATAAAGTAGTAACTCTAAAAATATAATATATTGCACGAGTAGATTGAATATAACATATATATTACTAGAAACAACAATAATATAGCTATTAATAACTTTACTTTAGTGATTAACTACAAACCAGACTTTTCATGGCAGTAACAAAATTTCCTATATTAGATTAAGTATTAACAACAATGAGTTCCTTGCATTTGGGGCCACCTAAGAAATGGTAAAGGCCTACCCGTGGCTGAAAAAACCATCAAAAAAAAAAAAATCAGTCACAGAAACCATATGAATCTCAAAAAATCATAAAGAATTGACCAAAGATTTAGCAAATGGGATATTGTTCATGCTTCTACAAAAAAGTAAATGTTGAACTTGATGGATCTTGTTAGCAAATCCACCTCATAAGTGGCTTCCTTCTGTTAGTCGATTATTCTAAACACAAAGCTCTTAGCAATAAAACATGAGAGAAATCGTATGGCGTGAGATTCTGTTAGTAGCCAAAAAAAAAAATCATCAATCATCATCTTTCTCTCTGATTCGTCATCTTTTCCATTGTCTCCCCTCCAAATTTGGACTTCCACCACAAATAAATTTTAAAATCCAAATCATGAAAATAATCTAAAATCAATCCTAGCTTAAATAAAAAATCGTCTTCAGGTATATCTAAAATGGAGAACACAGAGCGAAGAAGACAAAGCACCTGATTTGAAATGGAGAAGATGAGAAATCAAAGAGGATGAAAGTGAACATTGTAGAGGAAAAATCAGCTTTCAATGGTGGTAAGAGATTGATGAATCACCAGCATCATCTTCACCAGAACAATCATCGCCGTCACAGAACCAGGACAAAGAGCTATCACATCTCAGAAGGAATCGTATTGAAGAAGATGAATAACAACCACACCATCAATATCGCAGGACCAGGTGGAAGAGCATAGCGCTGTCTGCTATCACCATTTCCATCCGTCATTGCCTTTGCCGTCGATCTCATGCCATCCTCCATCATGCTCATAGTCGTACTTGGTTTTTCTAGTTTTTGAGGAAGGGTGAAGGGGAGGAGAGAAGAAAAAGAAAAGAAGGGCATATAAGTAAACTGATAACATTTTGAAATTCCAAATTGGTATGTAGGAAGGAATTTGGCATTTGTGAAATTTGAGGCATTGATTTGGGATTTCATAATTTTGAAGGTATTTATATTTCTTTTTCCCTTAAATTTTTTACTGCATATAAAATAAATATATTAATATTTATGTAATGTTATACTTCCTAACTATTTTGTAATAGTTATTAGATTGTTATATACAAGTTAGTGTAAGCAAAACAACATACATATATTACATAATCAAATCCAGATTTTATATATATATATGATACTCGAAAGAATTATAACGGAAGACTTATAAATACCTCTCACCATTAGCTCAATTGATTTGATATAAAACTTGATCTGAATGATGAGGAGCTGTGAATCCAAGAACATTGTTAGAGAAAGCAATACAAAGAATCTTCCAGTTGCTTATTAGACATAGTGATGACAATTATAATGTAATCGTTACTAATGGGAAACCCTCAGAGAGTGAACAGAGAAGAGATTAGGGTTTCACCCCAAACTTAGTATAGCATATGTTATTTTTCACCATCAGAAAATTAACTTCAATTAACTTAGTCGATTACTCACCTTAAACTAGACTCAAAATGACTACAAACTACACTCGTGATATTTATTAATTATCTTAATAATATTTAACTAGTTATAATAATAATAATAAATATCTCGGTTAGGAGTCTTCAAAAATAAATACTCTCATACATTAATAATCATTATGTTATGAAACAATTATTTTCGCCCAACACGATATCCTTGTAATATAACAAGGAGACCGATCCAATGAGGCACAATCTTTGGGCCTGAGTGTTATTTGGGAACGTAGAAATTCCTTTATTCACCGCAACGTAGATATGGTTTAGATGCTGTGACTTCGGGCATTCTCATTTCAAACAACCAGATAGGCAATGGCTTCATGTGGTTGAGCCTTCTAATTTTAATACTGATTGCGGTAAATGGATGTTGGTCTAGAAAGCTCCTCTTCATCTAGCGTTTTCGAAAGGAAACAGCCGATTTTATTTCGAACGGTTCTTGCGCATCTTGACGATGATGATGATAATTATGATGATCATAAAAAAATAAGCTAGCTATACATGAATACCATATACATGCATTTTAGGCCTTCCCAAAATTAAAGACCCAAAAAAGCGATCATGACATAAATGATAGAACACTGCTTAGAATTGACCAAACATAAACTAGTTAGAACACATCAGCATACAGCAAAAACATTTAAACGATGTTATAGCAATAAATATGGCTGAGTTTTCAACTAAAGCAAAAGAGGTAGAATAGAAGAGTATTGCTGTTCACGGGCAAATACTCGTTACATTACCCTTAGTGAAGTCTAATAAAAGTCCACTAGATAGTCATTCTCCAAGTCAACCCCCAAAAACATCAGCTTTACATAAACCAGAGTTAAAATTCTTCAAGACTTCCTACTTTCATTTGTCAATAAAAGATCTACAAGTCAGCAACCTAAGCTTCAAAACCATAGCCATGTGCACCTGTAACACTTTGCATCATAACAAAGATGTTAGAGCCATTAGTAAACTTGTCATAATCAAATGTGGCAGCAAGGAAGCAACGCTGACATGTTACTTGGTCCTCCAAAACCTACTATAAAAGCCCACAGCCAGTCTAACGACATGCTTGAACTAGAAAAGAAATCACTAATATTTACGTCTACAAATGAAACTCAAATCCTAATATTTAAATCTATACCCTCAAATAAAATATCACTTTCTTCTATGCAGAGACGGAGCCAATAACATAGTCATTGAAGGCGAGTGTTCTGTGAAAAAGCCAAAGTGCTAGAAATGATTAGCACGCCCAAGAGTAGAATGTTGTGATTGCTCCAACAATATCATCTAACTAGTCATAAGAAGATATGCAAATTTTGGAAAACAGAGCAAACACTTAAAATGTTAATCAATATTCTCAAGCAGCTGTTGGGAAATATATCCAATGGATAAAGCCAGAGAAGCAAAACTCAGTAAATAACAAGCTAATTATTTGTTTGCTCTCTCAATGTGGATACATAATTTTCTGATGATACGAAACTGTCTTCAGTTGATTACCAAATATGAATTTAAATACCTGATCACCCAGATTGTCATCTAAAATATTAGCATTTAAATAAGATTTAATCACTAGATTTGCAACAACTTCAAACAACCACTTCAGCTTATGAAAGTCTTGCCATTATTAAACATCAGGATCAGCAACTTGGAAAACAACTTAAAAACTTGCAATGTTTGTAAGTAACACGCCATATGGGACTCCTAAAAGCTTAATCTTTTCTACCATTTACTTGCCTCAAAATAATTGCAGGTGTCTTCCCAAGAGACACAGGCACTCCATCAATTGCCCCTGGTTTCACAAAGAAACTCCCAATAACGATTTAGCATATGATCCTCCGGCTCCACATCATTCCACATCCCATTACAAAATATAGCATATGCGTCAGCTGCATACCTGATTGAAATAGAATCGATGTTAGTTAGGCTAGCATCAATTCGAGAAAAAAGGCTAAAATATATGAAAAATAAGCTAGAAAGAAAATGGCATCATCTAACTTACCTGCCAACACCATATAGTTGGTGCACATGTGTCCAACTTTTTCCTAAATACTCTTGAGATAAGCGTTTTAATTTTTTTGTCCTTTCGTGTTGGAAACCTAGACTTCTGATTTCCTTTTCTAATACATTAGAAGGGACTTGAATGCATGTCTGTGCATCCGGGCACAGATCAAAAAACTTTGAAATAATTCCTCTAACCTGCATTACAAAACTCTCTTTTATGAGTAATTACTGGAATTATATCCATTAAACAAAAATACATCTGATTACTATGTTTTGAGAATGCGGGATGCATGTAATTGAGATAATATGAAACATATACCAAGCAGTTATAAATAAGGGGAAAAAAGGACACTAACCTTATGATGATCTTATTGAATCTAAAGGAACCTGCTTTATCTTTTTCGAAGATTTAAAGAAATGATATTTTAACTAATATTGCTTGAGATAGACTAATTACATATGAACTTACATGTATGAATTAAATATGTCCAAATTTAAATAACATGATATGAACATATGGAAACATCAATGAGATTAAGATTCAAAGGAAAAAACCGATTAAAATTAAATGGTAAAAAAGGGAGATGCATAAATTTACCTGCTTTCCACTGGTACGATTTAGCAGCATACAAAGAGCCAACACCCTCCAAGGGTCATGAGTATGATCCTCTTGGATAAGAGGAGGCTCATATCGTGGAGGTTTCCAAGTATTATTCGGAGCTTTTCTTTTGTAGGCATCCTTCTTTTTCTCATGAGCGTTAAGAACTTTGGGTTTTGACTTTCTCTCATCCACGCTCTTTTTCTTACCCAAACCCCTTTTCTTAACCACACCCACACGCTTTTTCTTAACCACACCCTTCGAAAGAGGAGGTATGTTGGCTCTGTAGTCACTATTAACAGTTATAAGCCTGGGTGGTGCCGTACAGGTAGCAAATCCCGGCTTCCATGGATCAACTTTGCCTCTACAGATAGAAGGGCAATGATTCGTTATTTTCCTAAGAATATTGATATTTCAAAGGAGCAGAGAGACTGACGACTTGTACATACGTGAATGCGAAGCGGGCGAAGGGATTTGAGGGATCGTCCACACTAAAATCCTCCATGATCCTAACAGCAGCAGAAAATCATGTTTAAGACAAAGATAACCATTTTGACAAGAAAAAAGCTGAGAGGGTACCTCAGACGATCGGAAACTTCTCGACGACGGTGGCTTCAACTTTCAACTCTGCCGCAGCGAAACTGAGAGGGGAACTCCGAATTGTGAAATAGGGAAAGTGGGATTCGCGCCTCATATTGGAAACGTGGCAACGGGTCTGTTTTCCATATTGTTCCAGAAACCCTTCTAAAAATCTTACACCGTTCGATTTGGATCATATGTCCAGCGGATGGCTGATCATAAAATGACATTCCCGTTGGTTTTCTTTTTCCCCTGCCCGTGAAAAATGAAAGAATCATAACTTATTATTGGGTGAAATATTTTTTCAAATATATTCAGCATTTTAAAATATTTTATGATATATCTAACACTCTAAAATATTAATTTAAGTATATCCAGAGTCTTAAAATATTTTTTTAGTACATTTAGCACTCTCAAATATTTTTTTAAGTGTAGTAGCACCCAAAAATATTTTTGGTACATCCAGCACCAATGCAAAAAAAAATATTTTAAGATGTTAAACGCATGTGAAAAATGTTTTAGAGTGCTAGATACATTTAAAAAAATATTTTGAGATGCTGTATACACTTTAACCCAAATTATTTTTAATTACCGGCTGTATATCCTATGGCTAAAATAATTTTAAATCCTCATTATAAAAAATGTTAAAACATTTCAAAGCTAAGTCTTAGAATTTGAGTGTAATTTCTTAAACTAATTTTTCTCTATAATCTAAATTAATCACTTTTATAATTTAATTTTTCTTTTGAAAGGAGGGTTTGTCATTTTCATACAATTATGCTTCGGATTCTGTTTATGTTTTAAATGTCAAATCTAATAATTGTTTTAAAATTATTTTTTTATGAATTATAATTAATTATTAAAAAGTATCATTATTTTTTAATTGCAAAACATAACATCCCAATTTTATTATCCCTTATATTTAAGTAAATATTTATTATGATCTAATTAAAAAAAGATTGAATATATATAAGCAATTAAAATAATTATAATTTTATGTATGTGTATATGTGTGTATGTATGAGAAAATGAATAAAATAGCAATGTTAAAAAGTCCCACATTGACTAAATGATAGAAAGATGGATAAAATAGCAATGTTAAGAAGTCTCACATCGACTAAATGATGGGTAGATTGAGCTCTTGGGGGCTATATATATGTGGTAGTAAAGGAGAGTTGAGAGTAAGTTAAATAATTTTCACACAAAAATAAAATAGTCTTAATAAAGTGTTGTTTATTGAAACGCTCTACCTTTAATCTTTCACCATTTGTAAGCATTATGGTTTAAGCAGATCACGACACAAGCCCGTGGATTTAAAATTTCAACATAATTACTTGAGTTACTATTTACTGTTTAAGTTCCAGATTACAGGCCCAACTTCAAAAATTCATAACTAATTTCATAAAAATCGTATTGAGGTGTTCTAAAATTCTACAGAAAGCTCTTTCAATGCTCTATAAGAAAAAAAATATCAAACTGGACTTATCCATGACCAATTTGTATAGTTTATTCAGTAAATATTACTGTTCATTTGAAAAAATCTGGAACTTCCAGATTCTATGCCTTAATTTTGGAAATTTGTATCTCCTTGTGTACACATCCAATTGAGGTTATCTATCTCTCATTTTAAAGCTTGGGATGAGTACTATAAGTATTTCAAATCTCGTGGTTTAACTCATTCATTTGATAGGTCAAATTGGAGCTACAAACTCACTGTTTCATGATCTACGCTTTATCTCTTAACATCTCTTTACTTTAATTATTTTTATTTCTTTGGCATACATAAAATGAGCTTATTCTTTCCCATTCATACTCATACACTTTCATTCATCTCATAAACATGATAATTAATTACATAGCATCATAGGCATCCATAACATAAATTATATAATAGGAGAATTACACATTGAATAATAATATCATTCATTAACATTAATAATTCTCCACTTTCTTCTCCTTGCTTTTCATGCCATTATTACTCATCATTGATTCACCTAAATGGTTGGTTAGGAAGGGGTGAGATTCGAGAGAATCTCAGTAGCAAACATTACCACATATATACACAAGATAGATGCTAGTGTATGGTATGTAGTTTTCCCTAAACTTTAGTTAACTAGTGACATGCCACCATACTTTATGCTTAGTATAAAAATGCATGGCCATGAATACATATTAAAAACAACATTTCCAGTAACAATTATCATGTCACAATATCATACAAACATCAACAAAACAAACCAACACATAAGCATACTACATCAATCACATAAAGAGTAAGTTTATTACCTTGTACTTCAAGTTTCCTCTTGCTTTTCTTTTGACTCCCTTGACTTTCCAACTATAATAGCTTTCAGTCAATATCAATCAAACATCCTTTTAGATGTTTCAAGGTCCTAAACATAGTTATAATAATCACACAATCTATTAGGACTAAGAGACTACACAAGGTTCAAGACTATCTCTCTTGAACTTAACCTCTTTCTCTTAATTTTTGGATTAATATTTTAGCTTTGTAAAAACTATTCTCTTAGGCTAATCCTATAAAATTTTGCCTAAAGAATCCAAATATCCACTTAAATTTATGAAAATTCAACTCCTTTCTCAAAACTCAGTGTTGGACGAATAGGGAGTTTGAAATCCAAAAATCCCAACTTTAATTCCAATACTTCCAATGCTTGTTCTTTAGGTTTACCCTATACCATTTTCCATTTTAAACCTATTGGAAGCCTTAGAATCATCAAAATCACATCCTAGGGTACCAAATTTAAACTAGCCGAATACTACCCTTCCTTAAACAATCATAAATTATTTCACATATCAACACAAGACTACTTGAAATAACCTTGAGCCAATATGTTTTATTAGATATATCATCAAAATCTTCCTCCCCTGAGCTTATATAAATTTGGCCAGCACCTCCCCTTAGAGGATCCCATATTTTTCAACCATCAAACTCTAGAATACAAAGCAAAATACAAGATAGACCATAAAACTAACCTTGTATCCAAGCTTAGGTAGATGGTTTCCTCTTGATTCATCTTCAAGAAAACATTTTGCAAGAGTTTCCCCTCTTAAACTCATGTTGGCTGAAAATATAAAGGGGGAGAGGCTCTATTTATAGCAAAAAATTTGGCTTAAATGGACCAAAATGCCCTTGGTGGCTAATAGAAATAGTAAGGGCAATTTTAGAATTTCAAGTTGACTTTTACATCATCATTACATCATCTTCTTGCATCATCCTTACCTCATTCTTCTCAAAGGTGCTAGGTGTCACAAAAGTGGTGGAGGAGAAGAAAGATTAGATCTTAGCCATTGGATCAAAACTTGTTCCCTAAGTTTCCTCTTACTTTACTTGGCCAACTTTTCTCTGACTTTCTTTATGGCCTTATGGAGCTCAGAAAATTCTTCTGTCTATTCTATAAATTCTCTTTAATTCCAGAGAATATCTATGAATTTTCTCAGGCCATAACATTTCCTTTAAGCCTTGCATAAAAGCCATTTACTAAAATACCCTTTTAATAGCATAACGAGCTTTATATTTTATTAAAGCCATTCCACTAGCCTTTTGGTTGCAAGACTATTTTTATAAATTAGTACAACCTTTCAACCATCTAACCTCATTTTTGCATACATTTTTTAGGTCTCTTGCTATTTTAAATAATTATCTCAAATAGTATACTTTTTACTAGCCATAACCTTATAAATTCCATTTAAGCTGTCTAGGGGTATTTTCATCATTTCTCTTCACAAAAGAGTCTTAGAAGATTATTTCTCATTTTCTAGAATTTTCTTAGAATTTTTTGTGTACTTTTCATTTTTACCCCTGATGATCGTAACTTTCTAAATTTATAGTTTTACCCTTGCTTAAACTCAATCTCATAAAACCATCTCTTTGAGGCTTCTAACTTAACATTTGACCTGTATCTAGCCTCTTTTCTCTCTCTGGGCTTTCGAGACTTTACTGGAGCCTCTAACTTTGATTAAACTTTAGCCCCTTAAAACTTTCACTTTGCAATTTAATCCCTGAAACTACTTTAACTTTCTTTCTTGTCTTTGAGACCTCTGCTAATAGGAGCCTAGTAGCTTACCCAATGTAGGCTATTTCTGATACTTCTAGGCCTAAAAGTTGAGATGTTACATTTACGAGTTTGTGAATTGTTAGATCGGGCTGCAATTTGGTCAACTGGTCTGATTTCAACTGTTGGATCGTTAATTCAATCTCTAAGTTACAAGTTATTAGATACATTTTTAATTTATTTTTTTAGATTTGGTAGATAGAATACTAAATAATAAATTAGCGTTTTTAAATTCATTCACTGTTAGATTAACCCGAAATTTAGAGAGTAAACTTGTGACATATAAGACATTAAATTCAACGGTTGAATTAATAATTAGACTTCTACAAAAAGAATAAATTAACTCATATTGAGGTTATTTGTCTAAATTCTTCGAAGATAGAACGTAAGCTATAAATTGAGGGTTCTTTATCTGGGTTATGAATTTGGTAATTCAAATGATATAATTTAATAATTAGAGATAATATAAGTTAAGAAAATTTAGGAATTGAATCTAAATCTTTATATATATGTTCTTACCTTAAACATTAGAAAAAGCTTTTCGAGCTAGAATTTTGAGTAACAATTGAAGGTATTAGAGAGAAAGTTAAAGACTAAAAATTTGTGAGTAGTTTACTCTAATACTATAAAGATAATGTATTAATTTCATCTATAGATATAAATACTACTATGGCATTTTTTAGTACAGGCCTTGTTTGTACTTGATTGTTAGTTATGAGTCCAAGTAATTAAATTTCTATCTGTTACCTGCTCTGGTATAAAGTTGGTGAGTGGTTTTATAACCACTTTTTGTATACATATATTATTCTTTGTATGAAAGGTATTATTCTGAAGTTTGTTTAGTGACGTATATAAATATGTTATTATGAGCCCTGTACACCTGATATGGTTGGGGGAGGAGATGATTAGAGTATGCAGATATATACATGCCAGATGGTATTGGCCTCCATATAAAACTCTATGGTTGGCAACTATTATTGTCCCACTAGTTCTTCAAGAGACTACGACGCCCTACTAGTT